GGGGGGGGGTTCATAATCTTCTTGGGTGCCTCAACTGAAAAGGTCCTGTTATTGAAACCTTGTTTCAGTTCTTCTGTTTCAATGGAGGAAACAGAAGTAGGGCCTCAGATAAGAATAAAAATATTGTGAGGCTAAATTATATGGAGGAAAGTGATTCTAGAGATCTTCTGGCCAGAAGCCATTTTGGGTTTTAAAACTAAGCCCAGGAGAAAAAATGCAGTCAGTGATGCTGCTTTTAAAAAGATTGTAATAATACAATCTGATTGGCTAGCTCTAGTAAAAATTTTGGCTCTAGGAATTCTGGCATTTAATATGCACCAATTAAATTTAATTAATCCTGAACTTGCAACTGGATGGTTTAATTTTAAACACAATTTTATAAAACCTATTGTTTTAAAAAGGGATGTTGTAGCACCTTTGAGGCTAACTGTGCAAAAGAAGTTGTAGCATAAATTTATGTAGATGTAGGAGATTAGTGCACAGCTTTAAAAAAGCATTTTACCACTGCCGAATTCAATTCTAATTTGGGCTGTATCCGGGTATTATCAGATGTATTTTGCTGCCGACGCTGCTGGCCAGGTGCAGCCTGGGTAACTTCCAGGTAGAATCCAAACTCAGCCGGCCAATTTGCAAAGCCAGGAGCTTTCCAGTTTTGAAAAGAGGCCAGCTGAGCTAGAATTCTACTCGGATGTTACCTGGGCTGCACCTGGCCGGTGGCGTTGCAGGCAAAATATGTCTGATAATACCTGGATGCAGCCCGAATTGTGCGCTAATCTCCTTGGTCTACTTCCTCTCCAGGCATCTGAGGAAGTAGACCAAGTCTATGGTCCAAAACAGACTGCAGAAATTATCCAGTTTGAGACTGCTTTAACTGCCTTGGGTCAGTGCTAGGGAATCCTAGGAACTATAGTTTATTGTGGCACCAGAGCTCTCTGACAGAGAAGGCTAAATGTCTCACAAAACTACAGTTCCCAGATTTCCCTAGCATTGAGCCAGGGCAGTTAAAGTGGTCTCAAACTGGATTATTTCTGCAGTGTGTTTTGGACCCATGAAAACTTATGCTATAACTTCTTTTGCACAGTTAGCCTCAAAGGTGCTGCAAGATCCAGGCTACTGCCATTCTAGAGGAACACAGAATACTGGTATTCAAGACTGTATGAGTTTATCACACAGCACTTTCAGGAAGGAGAACTGAACGGAATAGAATGGCACGAAATGGTGCGAGAACGCAAGTTACCGCACCATTCCGTGCCATTCTGTTCAGTTCAGTTCCCTTTCCTGAAAGTGCCGTGCGATAAATGCCTCTGAATTAATTTCTTCAGAAATAGTAATCTAATCATAAGAATTGCTTATATGAGCCAGATCAAAAATCAAGTAGATTTGTTTTGTAGGCAAACTAAGTCTGACATTAATTGTATCTTTACATCAGATTGGAGGGGAAAACTGATAATTAATGGGGCTAGAAGAGGCTTAGAAGGCAATTTATCTTTTTAAACACATCCTGAAGTCCCAAGCAAAATGCTTCCTCTCAGAGTTGACATTTCAAGGACAAGTGGGTGGGAGATTCTCCCCAACGCAAATATCATGGTGACTTTTACAGGAGGTAGATATGATTACCATATGAGTAGTCATATAGTCACCAGAGCCAGAGTGGCATAGTGGTTTGAATGTTGGACTACAATTCTGGAGACCAGGGTTTGATACCCAGCTCAGCCATGAAACCCACTGGGTGACCTTGAGCAAGTCACATGATCTCAGCCTCAGGGGAAGACAATGGCAAACAAATCTGGCCAAGAAAACTGCATGATAGGTTCACCTTAGTGTTGCCATAAGTTGGAAGTGATTTGAAGGCACAAAACAACAACAGATATGACTGAGAGACAGATAGGTACATAGTCACCTCTATATTGTGTTATACCATGCACAAATAGAAACAACTGACCACACATCATCATCACTTATTATTATTATTATTTGGAGTCAAATGATAGATACAGACACCAATTGTGGGGCCAATTAACAGATACAGAATCACATCTATATTGTGCTATACCTTGTACAAATAGGAACACTTTCAATTGGCCACACATGAACACAGTTTCAGTACCATATGCCCCATGCGTGGAAATGCAATTGATGCATTACACGGGTACTTCCAGTGAAGAGAAGACTATGATTAGTTTGTATATCAAAAATGAGCAAAATAAAACGAATACACACACTCCTATTTTAAATGTTTTAAAATCCAATTATTTTGGATGAGATATGGATGTGGAGGCTCAAGTGGTTGAGATGCTAACTCTATTGATTGCAAGATCAGCAGGTTGGCAGTTCGAAGCCCAGGTGCCACGTGATGGGGTAAGCTCCCATCACTAGTCCCAGTTTCTTCCAACCTAGCAGTTCGAAAGCATGCAAATTCAAGTTAAATAAGGACCACTTTGGTGGGAAGGTAAACAGTGTTCTGTGCAATCATGTTGGCCACATGATCACAGAGTAGTCTCTGACAATGCTGGCTCTTCAGCTTATCAACAGAGATGAGCACTGCCCCCTATGGTTGGATATGACTTGACAACCTTGTCAACGGGAAATACCTTTACCTTTATGTGAAGGAAAAGGATAGTGAAAAAAGGAAATGGAAAGAACAACTTATTCAAAGAAATGAATCATATTAAGACAATTACAAGAGTGTGTTCTTTGTTGCTCTGTCCCACATGAATTTTGATTTTCTTTTATGTTCTGAGTTAAAATGAATGCCACTGTAGCATCAATAGAAAACAATTCTGCTCTCACAAAGTGTGGGTTGAGGAAGAGAAACTGGACTAATTGTTGGCTCTCCATTCTCAAAGATCGCCAAATGTGGCTTCTGGGGAGCATACTGTACTGCAGTAGGGAGGAAAAGCGCCATTCCACAAGTGGATTTCTACTTCGGTCTGCTAGGATTCAGCCCCATATGTTCAAAAAGCAGCATAGAAACAAGACAGATCACTATTGTAAGAATATACTGTCTGCATTTAGACACAAGAAGGGACAACCAAGTAAGGGAAACAACAGAGGAAAGCAAACAAATTCATATTTTGGTCCTGCACTCACTTATCTAGGAGTAAGCCCCATTTTCATCTTCAGAGTAAAAATGTACAACATTGTGTTGCAGCTGCACACCTTTTATTTCAGTCAAAGAAACTTACACATTTACCACTGCTATGTATTCATCATTTTTCAGACAAAAAAAAAACCACACAAAACCCAGAATGGAGAAATACTGTTTGTAAATAGATTCATCCCTAAGAAACATCTATTATATAGTGACACTAAATTTCCTCCTCCAAATCTCAACCAGAAAAAGCAAGAAGAGCAATAGGTTTTGCAGTTTGCATTTTTGACGCAAATCATGTACTGAAGAAATTTGACTTTATACTGACATCCCTTCTCCCTATCTGCTTTTTCTTTTTCATGAAAGTAATATTGCATCAATCAAATCCACACTGCTGTTAAACAATATATACAGCTAGTGTGTTGTAGCAAGAAGTACAAATTTACCCTATAAAAAGGGTTTGCAGGAGACAGTGGAGGGCTGTTGCAGCATCACATAATGAGGCTCTACATTTATGATCACATTAAATGACAAATTATTTCCATGGCCTGCTTCTCTTTTTTAAACTCTGTGTATGCATTCTTTCAGAATGACATTCAAGCTTTTGGTTCCATTCACTGCTTCGGGTTAGGTATAAAATCTATCCCCAAAACATACGTATGTGCTTCTAAATGCAGTTTTGTCTTCTAGTTCTTGTCACCAACAGTAAATTGTGAGACCTTATCAAATCCCCAAATTGCCCTGATCTCCTCTTGTGGCCTAACCCACAGCAGCAAATTTGTCATAACATGTGGTAATGTACAATAACTTTTTACTTAAGGTCCTTGCTTTGACTAGGATGGCTTGGGAGTACAAAATTATGATTATTAACGCTGTGTGCGCAAATGTTTTGAAGTGTAATGGCTTCATCTAGGAAGGAAGATTCTTAACCTCTCCAATCCAAAGTGTGTCAGATTATTTGGTTATTTTGGGGTGTTTTTTGCTTGTTAGTGGTTTTAAAAGCAAAGTATAATGTTTTAGTCAATTCCTCCACATTCAAAGTTCATGACTATACTAACAAGTTTTCCCACCAAGGTACAGACAAGGAATTAGGTGAACACACCACAGTGCTCAAGATTTGTTATGTTATTCATTATTTTAATTCACACAAACATTCACATCATGCCATAACTCATCCCCAGATGTGATAACTTCTTCCATTGAGAAACACTATGCTCCCTTCAAAGTGATTTCAGGTGACTTGAAGAGATGACTTTCAACACTGTATTTCTGAAAGCCATTTCACATGTAGAAATCCTCTTTCCATGCCACCTCTTGAAATCATGGATCATTGAACCCATCTCCATGTGTCTAAATCAGAGATGGGAAACATGGCCCACCAAATATTGTTGGACTGCAGTTTCGTTAAACCCTAGCTAATGGTGAAGGATGATAGATGTGGTTCAACTTCTGGAGGGACATACATTTCCCACCCCTGCCTGTATAATGCCTTCATACTTTGTCTCTTGAGTTTGTTTAAGATGTTAAAAATCTCTTTGTAATTTAGATTTACAGATTACCTCTTAATTCGTTTTAGAATATAATCTAAATCAGGGGTAGGCAACCTTTTTGAGCCAGGGGCCGGGTTGCTGTCCCTCAGACAATTGGGGGGCTGATGCACCAAAAATAAATAAATAAATAAATAAATAAACATAAATAAACAGCTCCTGGGCCTCAAACTGCCATCCTGCAGATCTTGCAATCAACAGAGTCAGCATCTCAGCCACTTGAGCCACTATGTCTCTACAGCAAATATAAACCAAGGTCATTTGTTTCACTAGGGAACATTTTAAGAAAGTATTCTGAAACAAAGTACTTTTCAGTCTCAGTGAAGCTCAATAGATCATGAGTGAATGAATCAACGACTACTGTATTTTAATTTTTGATTTTACATCATATCTCTGGAGACCAGGGTTCAAATCCTGGCTCACCATGTAAACCCACTTGGTGACCTTAGTCAAGTCACACTCTCTCGGTCTCTGAATATGGCCATGGCAAAGTCCCTCCAAAGAAACTTGCCAAAAAAAACAACCCCGTGACTTTGTTGTTGTTGTGTGCCTTCAAGGCATTTACGACTTATGGTGACCCTATCATAGGGTTTTCTTAGTGAGAGTTGTTCAGAGGACTTCAAAGATAGAACCATGTTAATCTGTAGAATCTGATTTGTGTATATTGTGTATAGATCCATTGGAGTTGTCGCACTTTAAAAAAAAATTTGTTTTGCTGCAGCCCTGCACTGGCACTGGGCTGTTTTTATGCAGGCATGAAGATGCACATTTTCCGAGCTAAGCCAGAGCATCACGATTACTTTTTGCTCTGTTTTTTAGTCCCAGAGACTGGCTTAATTTCGGTTTCCACCCAGTTTGGTGGCATGTATCGTATAAACAAACCAGCTTCAAAGTGGCTGGAAGCTGCTTTATTTTGCCCATCTGTTTCACCCCATTGTTAAAATCAGTTACCAATTGAAACAAACATAAGAAACATTATACCAGAATTATGCTGGATACTATAGGGCTGTGGTGGTGAACCTATGGCACACGTGCCAAAGATGGCACACGAAGCCATTTTTGTGGCACACAGAAGGCAGGGAAGAGGAGGAAAAGGCACACAACTGTTCCTCCTCCTTCCCAGCCATCTCAGGCTTTCAGATGCATCCAGAGAGGCAGCTGAAGGCCCAGGAGGGTGTGGGGAGGAGGAGAAAAAGGTGCGTGCCTGTTCCTCTTCTTCCGCCCTTGCCCTCCCCCCCCCACACACCTTCAGCTGTCTCCGGAGAGGCAGCTGAAGGCCCAGGAGGATGGGGGGCAAAGAATTCCCACACTGGAAGTCCAACTCCAGAAGTCTTGTTCTCCCCCCCACCCAGAAATTTCGCCGCTGGCACAGGATAACACCCAGTGCCAGAAGGCCTTTTAGTTTGGGCACTCGGCCCTAAAAGGTTCACCATCACCGCTATAAGGATTACTCAGAAACAGAAAGAAGAACTATAAAAGTTCACAAATAACTATTGCTGAGATAGAAGGAAGTCAGTAGAGATTTATTACAATAGGGAACATAATTAACAACTAATGAAATAGATTTACATAGATATGAATTTATTATCATCTCTATTGTCTCTTTCTGTATTTGTATCTTCATATAGTCTGTTAATTTGATTGTTGTTCTCTTTGTGTTTTTCATTTGATTTTCTACTATATTTTTGTTTATTTATTTATTTTAATAAAAATAATATTTTTTTAAAAAAAAAGGTATCGGCAGATTTTAGATAATACCAAGGTTTTCAAGTTTCAAGTTTTCAACCTACACACACACACACACACACACACACACACACATCTTTGTAAAGCCCCCGAACAGCCCAATAATAATAACTCAGCGGCATAGCATGTTGGTTGACTGAAATGGGAGGCAGACACAGTCCTAGAAGGGGGAGAACAGAATGGAGTGTCTGGAACAGCAGGGCAGCACTGCATAGATATATATGAAAATGAGAAAGAACCATTTCATTCTGGATAAGTCATTTCCTGGTTCATGCAATGAAACTATTTTTAAATGTCCTTGGGGATGCAAGGGAGAGCTGCCCAAAGACATC